TGTAAAATCATATTTGAACATTATGCAATTAAAAGCATAAAACTGAAATGTAAGAGCAGTGAAGATTCAAATATGCCTACACTCAAAGGAAATAGAAGGATAATTCCTATTTCTTATGTAACACTTTTCATCTGTACATATCACACCACTTCACAATAGAGATTAACCAATTAACCGATAAGCATCAGCTTACCGGTTCCGGTTAAACTTTTCTGACTGCACGTGGGAGCTGGAGCATGCTATCTCATGCTGCAGGCTGTGCAGTATAAGGCTGCTTATACTGCAGAGCTCGCAGCACAGCCAGCTCCCTGGCTCCTGGCCCAGCTCTTGGAGAGCCAGATGCTGCCCCACACTACAGATTCTACAGTATCAGGGACCACAGCACAAGGTGGCAGCTGGCTCCCTGGAATCAGGGCCATCAGCCAGCTGTGCTGCAGGCTCTACAGTATAAGCTCTCTATTGCAGAGCCCGCAACAGGTATAACCAACTAAGATTTTTAATGGTTACATTGTTACTTTTTTAAAACATTTTTTACATCCCTACTTTGCAATGTTCAATGTATTTATCTTCACAACACAACCGTGTGATGGGAAAACAACAGCATCCCAATTTTACAGGTAGGGAACTGAAGCACAAAAAGGCTAACGCCAAGATAACACAGCAAATCCAGAGCTCAGCAGGGAACTGAACTAGTCTGCCATACCCTAAACCAGGGCTACTCAACTTTGGAAGCCCTGGGGGCCACAATGATACTCTCAGCACATGCCAAGGGCTGCAACTTAAATGTGGTTGCATATATATGTATATATGCAAATATATTCAAATAGCTTATTTCACACTAAGGGACATGAATACAAAAATTAAGGCAAGATCACACAACACACAGGCCCCACCGAAGTCAGTTCTGCTGATATTAATACAATGCAATATTTATCCAATTTCCACACATATGACAGCACTTTTAATGAGCAATGAGAGTCCAGGAATTTAACTACTAACACACACAGCAACAGAAGACCATTATATTGACTGCTTTTTTGTTTTAGCTCCCACCCACAGGCCGCAAACAACGGGCTGTGGGCCTAGCCCACGTGCCACGTGTTGAGTAGTCCTGCCCCTAAGCCAGGTTACGTCTAGACTACAAGCCTCTTTCGAAAGAGAGCATCTAGAGTGCAACCAATTCTTTTGAAAAAGCGAGCCGCTTTTTCGAAAGAGAGCACCCAAGCAGTCTGGATGCTCTCTTTCGAAAAAGCCTAGTTGCATTCAAGAACGTCTTTTTTAGAAAGAGCACTTTCGAAAAAAAGCATTCTTCCTTGTAAAATGAGGTTTGCGGTCAAAAAAAAGCCACCGTGTTCTTTCGATTTAATTTTGAAAGAAAGCAGTGGCAGTCTAGACACAGGTGAAGTTTTTTTGAAAAAAGGACACTTTTAAAAAAAACCCTGTAGTCTAGACACACCCCAATGCCTTACCCACAGGACCAAAACCTGATATGTGTTGTTATAGGAAAATTTATAGCTACCGCAGTTTGAGAAGACAGGACAGTTCTTAGGTAAACATTAAAGATGGCTAATGCAGCAGTAGGTAACCTGCAGACCATAGGGGTTCTATGTGTGGCCTGCAAAACATTTTATTTACTAGTACCCATTTGCATTCTAGTCCACAAAAGCTTATACCCAAATAAATGTATTAATCTAAGGTGCAAAAGGACTGCATATTTTGGCTAAAACAGACTAAGGCAATTATCCTTCAAACTCAGGTGGTTTCAGTCTGCATAATTTTTTCCAACCAGTATTACTGAAGTAACACATGCATAAAATAAAGGCATGTAAAGTACAGTACATGCTGATTGCATGCAATACTGACTATGAGAGTTGTCCATTAAGGAGTCCCTCTACATTCAAAGCACTACCATGGTTCAATTGACACACACTACAAATTCTAGGTAAACAAGTACAATTAGTAAAGCTACCCTGTACCAGGAGATTGTCTTTGTTATGACTAAGGATGTTAAGTAATGGGTAACTGACTAATCGAATAGTCGATGAATTTTTGCATCAATTAGTCGTTAGGCCTTAGGCTGTTGCTACACTTCAAAGGCAAAAGCACCGAAGCCTGGGGTCAGCTGGGGACTCCCCCGCTGACCCCGGGCTCTGTGCGGCACTGCCACTTTGAAGTGCTGTGAGGAGCCTGACACTAGGCTCCCCGGCGTTTTAAAGTGGCAGCCCCAGGCTTGCTGCTTTGAAGTACCCCCACTTCTTCCCCTCCCCCTTGCTGCCTCTAATAGAGGCAGCAAGGGGTAGGGGGAGAGGAGTGACTAGTCAACTATTCTGTCAACCATCCAATAAGCATTTGCTTATCGGATAGTCAACTAGTTGACTATTCCTTCACATCCCTAGTTACGACAATCTTGTGGCCCACTGAGATGAAGGAGAGCCACTCATGCAAACCACTCACTGGCCTAGGTTGCCCATCACTGGGATCTGGAAGGTAGGCCCTCCCTGCCAAAGCATCTAGTCTCGCACCCACGAATTCTATGACCTGGGTAGGAACAAGTGTAGACTTCGCCTCATTCAGCCACAGCCCCAACCTCAAAAAGGTTTGCTTGGCTAGATCTACGAACCGAGAGACCTGATCCCTTGACCTCCCTCTGATAAGCCAATCGTCCAAGTAGGAGTAGACATGGACCCCATTCCTTCTCAGGAAGGCCGCCACCACAGCCATGCGTTTTTTAAAACACCGTTGGTGCTGTGGACAAGCCAAAGGGTAGCACTGCAATCTGGTAGTGGTGGGACCCTACAACAAACCTCAGGAATCTCCTGTGGTGAAGGGAAATGGAAATGTGGAAGTATGCATCCTGTACGTCGAGGGCAGCATACCAGTCTCCAAGATCGAGTGAGGGGATGATGGAGACCAGCATTATCATCTTGAAACTTGATTTTTTTAATGAAGATGTTGAGCCTTCTGAGGTCCAGAATTGGGTCAAGGCCCCCCCTTGGACTTCGGGACAAGGAAGTAGTGGGAATAAAACCCCTTTCCCCTGAACTCCAAGGGAACCTCCTCCACTGCCCCTAGGGAAAGGAGCTCAGAGACTTCCTGCTGGAGGAGGTACTCGTGAGAGGGGTCCCTGAACAGGGACAGAGAAGGGGGTGGGAGGAATGAAGGGATAGGAAAAGGATAGAATATCCCCTTGCCATTACCTCTAGGACTCAACAGTCCAACATTATGATAGACTGTTCCCTTTCCACGAGGCCTGGTGTGTCTGAGAAGGGTCGATCTGAGACTACAGGCAGTCCCCGAGTTACGCGGATCCGACTTATGTCGGATCCGTACTTACGAACGGGGCTTTTCTCGCCCCGGAGGACGCGGGCGGCGGGACCGCCCAGACGCGCCGCGGTCCCGCCGCCCGGGTCCTCCATGGCTTTGCTCCGCGTGTCCCTGGTCTGCTGGGGAGTCCCCCCCCAGCAGACCAGGGAGATGTGGACCGCCCCGACGCGGCCCGG